ATAGTCAACATAGTAGAATTAAATTTATTCCCATCTGTGCAATGTCATTCTAGAGATATATTAAAAAAAAACGATATTGATAAAACAGTTGTCTAATAATAAAAAAAAATTCATCGTGTCAAAAAGATAAAGTAACCAGTCAGTCGATAGATTTTCATAGTAGACTTCATTTGAATATGGATCGATTGAAAAGAGTTTTAATGAAAAATAACCATATTTTTCTAAACCTAGTGGTAATTTTACAATTGCTTCATGGTTCTCAATCATTCGTACAACTCTATAATACTGAAGATAGTTCATCACTTGAATTCTATGATTGTATCTACAACGAGAATGACGCGACGGTTATGTATTGTCGTCGACCTGGAGAAGTCATAGAACTAAATCGACAACAACAAAGATGTTTTTCGAGTGGCAAAGAAATTACATATGCTAATTTACAAAAATGGAACATTACCTCACAAGAAGTCTTGCAGTTGACTTCAAGTATCGAACAAGCCGATGAATATGCGGCATATCTGTTGAATAATTCATCTTTCGATAATAACGACGATAGTATCATTTGTAATTGTTCGGATTCGTCTATTTTTGGCAAATTTTGTGAGTATCAACTTTTTTTCGGTAGTCAATCGTTTAATGAAAGCATTACAACACAATTTGAATTGAAAGCAAAAGATAAATACAGTAGTCAGATATATGGCAAAATTCTGTGTTATACAACATTAGAATGTAATTATGGATTATTGTGTTTGGACTGGAGAAATATTTGTGATGGAATTTCGAACTGTATTGATAGTATTGATGAAGAAAATTGTGATTTATTAGAATTTAATGAATGCAAAGATGATGAATTTCGTTGTGATAATGGTCATTGCATTCCAGAGGAATACTGGATGGACGGTAATGTTTCTTCATTTTTAGTTGATTAAAATATAACTGTTTTATCTTAGGGTGGATCCGATCAACGCATGAATGTATGGATCATAGTGACGAACGAGATACGCACAATAATTTTTGTTTAAATTTATTCTGGAGTTTCGATTGTGATGAACGCTTATGCCCACCAACAAGTTGGTCTTGCGGGGATGGGCAATGTATACCACTGCTCCAGCGATTTTCCTATCAATTTTTCTATGAAGGTAATGCTCAATGTGAAAATCTGAGAGATTGCAATTATGCATGTGAAGTATGTGCTAATGAAAATCTATGGACAATAGAAGAAGGTTTATGTTGGGACTTTTTGGAGCAGAAAAAGACTAAATTAGAATTAGCTGCGACAATGGTTAATGATACATGTCTTTTATGGCTAAAATGTAAATTAGTAGGCATCGATAAAGTAGACTGCGATTGCCCATTAGATGAACTATGCGAATTTGGAGATAGTGACGAGCAAATGGAGGAACAATGTTCAGATCCTATTGAATATCCGCCGTATGGTCTCTATCGTCCTTATTTGTCAACTTATTATCATGTAGGCACGTTTGCATTTAAAAGAGATGCGCCATCGATTTACAAAGTGAAAGGGAGTATTAAATGTCGTGGTTATCAAGCGGTTACTTTAAATCAAGAAATTGATTTACCATTAGAGATAGAAAGTATTTTGACGTATAATGATCAGTTTTTTATTGTTGCTATGTATCGCAGCGCATTAGATTCTTTATTTTGTAATAATCAAAATATTTATCAAAACAAGTCCAAAGATGCACCAAAATTTGATGAACTATGTTGGAGTGGATTAACTCGAACATTAGATACAAACAAATCTTACAGTTTTTACGATATATGTCCTAAAGATCCACTATGCCTGTCTAGTTATCGTATTAATGACGGTATTGATCATTGTTATCATAATCTAGATGAAAATAGACCAGAATACCGAGAATCCTGTGCTAATATACGCAAGTATCGGTTGCAATGTTCTCTAGATGAGCAACCCATGTGTCTTGTACCACAATATGTAGGTACAGCCTTTGTTGATTGTTCCAATTATTATGATGAATTTATCTTTGGTTCAAATGTACCTATTGAAATTGAAGCGTGTTCGACTGAAAACGATGATCAATGTAAAATATTTCGAGATTACATACATATGACAACAAAGAATAATACTAAACAAGAGATAGAGTCATTTATACAATCGATAAAAACGAAGAGTTATGGTAGAAGTCTTCCTCATCACCAGTATTGTGATACCTTTTGGGATTTATCAACAACTGATGAATCAGCTGAGTACTGCCAACTATGGATATGTACAACAGACGAGTTTCAATGTCCAAAAACGGGTCAGTGTATCAATCCTGAATGGATTTGTGATGGTAAGTTGATTTTCTGAAGATTACGTAGCTATTTTTATTCATTTCGATCTCTTTTAAACTAGGTATTTGGGATTGTAGTGATGGTAGTGATGAAGAAGGGATTTTTCTTATCAATGAACTATCAACTCATAATATACCTTTAGTAAATTTGAGAAAACTTAAAAGACTTAAAGAACGTTGTAGAGAACTCTACAAATCTCAACCACTTTCCCAGTTATGTGATTATCAAACAGAATATCCTTGCCTAAGAAACATTAGTATTTTCCAGGAATTATGGAATTTTAGTCTTCATAGACCATGCATACCACTTTCACAACTTGGCGATGGCATTATACAATGTTTCGGAGGTAAAGATGAAAAATTGACGATCCATATGTATCCAGCTGGTGAAGTACTTGGATTGTCCTTTTTATGCCAAACTACCAATAAGGATATTCTAATTATTAATATGTGTAACGGACTGCAGACGTGCGACAATGACGAAGACGAATATGTTTGTTTAACGGATCGAATACCAGAAATAGCAAAAACAAATAATAGTTACTGTGGTTATGATCCATTAGATGTTGTTTGTTTGAACGGAACATGTATAAAAGCAGCACGCTGTAATGGTCATAAAGACTGCGAATATGGTGAAGATGATTATACATGCGCTTTACACGGCGATGAGGTAGAGTTAAATTCAATGGATTTAGTACACTATCGGTATTCGAGGCGTGCAGACGTGCATAGTTCCGATAGAATAATTCGGATTTCCGATTTTCCGCCAACATTAAATCCCCGAACTATGCAAGACGATACTACTGTCCGACAGATGAAACATAGTGAAAGTCATTTTTCTCTAAAATCATCAAATGATTCATTCAATAAATTTCAAATTGCTTATCATTGCAATCGTGGATTATCTGTTCTTATGCTACACAATAAAGATCTAGTTTGTTTCTGTCCACCTTCATATTATGGCAAATACTGTGAATTTTATAGTGATCGTCTAACCATCGTTACTCATTTGAACTATACCAATAGTCCTTACTTGAACATAGAATGCGATACAGTGGTCTTACAGGTTTTGTCTGTATTACTTTTTGAAGATGAAGTTGTGGATCATTATAGCTTTCGTATAAAACTAAACAGTGAAAGGTTCGACTATATAATAAAAGAGAGATTTTTTCTCGTTTATTCACGTTCAGAAAAATATTTAAATCATAAACAAAGACGTTATTTTAATCGCACAAATATTATCAAAAACCAACCGTATACAGTTCGGTTCGAACTTTATGAATTGAAGAAAAATGTAACGATACAATTCGTTGGCCTCTGGCAATACACGATCTATTTCGATTATTTACCATCGTTTCGTTTAGCAAAAGTCCTACGATTTCCATCTAGATTTCCTGAGAACGATCCGTGTCATCATAACTCATGTAATAATCGATCGAGTTGTCATCGTATATTAAATGAAAATTCTACAACAGCGTATTTATGTTTATGCCGAGCACCTTTCTATGGTAAAGATTGCCAATTGATTGATGAAAATTGTTCGAAGTTTTGTGCTCCCTATTCGGTCTGTAAACCAAGATATCGTGGAATCGTCAATAATAATCAACAACCACTTTGTATCTGTCCTTGGTATTTTCATGGACCGAGATGTTATTTACAATATTCAGCATGTTCATCTCAACCTTGTCTAAATGATGGTACATGTTTTGAAAACTTTGATCCAACTGATCCAATACCTTATATTTGCTCTTGTCAAAATAAGTTTTACGGAGATCGTTGCGAATACGAAGATATTCGTATTCATATTCAGTTAAATGTGTCTACTGATGTTCCCGTGAATGTCTTAGTATCCGCTGTTCAATACTTAGACTTTACCCTTACGAATTATGATTTAATTCTTCGACAACAAAAAGTATCATTTGGTTTACCACTTGAATGGAACTACTATTATAATGAATTGATTGCACCAGAACTTGGTCTTTTATTAATCTATGATGACAACTATCGACAAAGGAATCCTCGATTCTATTTATTATATATACAAAATGCGAAAGAAAGTATTAATATAACTGTAGAATTGAATGAGCGTAATTATTGCGCACATATTTCAACATGGATAAATCAAATGAGTAAGTTTTCCAACGATAAAGAATACGATATTTTGATCAAAAAGAAAAATATTTTGTATTGATTTGTTATTTAGATGATTCTATACCTTTACTTTTTCAATATCATCAAATTTGCCGTAAAACTTTGAATCGTACAAAAACTATGTGCTTTCGTGATGATATTTATCTTTGTATTTGTGGTGAAGATTTTTATCGTGCTGAATGTTTTGGTTACGATTTATCTAGCGGTGGATGTACTTATTGTTTATCAGATGGTTTCTGTTTAAGTGGTGATGCTGAAGATCAAGTCGATATGATCTGCTTATGTCCACGATGTCATTACGGTGAATCTTGCCAATTTTCAAATGAATTATTGAGTTTTACGTTAGATTCCTTGATCTTAAGTGATGTGTACTACCATCAAACACTCGCTTCTGTTGTTTACATCATCATTGCAACAATCGTGTGTCTCATCGGTTTTTTTAACAATTTATGTAGTCTTTTGACATTCATTCGTTCACAACCTCGTCGTTTTGGTGTGGGTAATTACCTTTTGCTTGTCGCCATTGTTAATCAATGTTCTCTTACATGTCTTCTTCTTAAATTCATTCATATTATTCTATACAGCACTGGCACTCTTGTCAATCATAGCCATGTGAATCTATATATGTGTAAGATAATCTCCTACTTTCTTTCGGTCTCTACTCGAATTACCTATTGGCTTACAAGTCTGGTGACTATTGAACGTGTTTGCATGGCTCTTTTCCTTTCATTTAGTATGACGAAGAAATCAACATTAGCTCTTCGTCTGAGTTTGCTCGTTGGATTAGTGGTGACTAGCATGCATATTCATGAAGCGTTGTATTACAAAACTGTCATTGATCGATCTGCAACATTAAATCAGATTGCCATATGTGTTACAGATTATCGAGGATTTCATTTAAAGGCGTACAATCGTATAAATATTTTCCTACATCATTTCGTTCCTTTTCTAGTTCAATTACTTGCAATCAGTATTCTTATTATTCAAACTACACGTAGTCGTCTACGCGCTACTGAAAATAACAATGACAACAATACATTTCTCGCTATTTTGAAAAAAAAATTTCAAATGAATAAAGAATATTATTTCACTCCAACAATTATTATTCTCAGTGCTCTACCACAGATAATTTTTTCGTTTGCTTATGGCTGTACTGAGTTGAAAGAAGGATGGAAAAAATATACTCTATTAACAACATATCTCTTATCATATTTACCACAGATATTAGGATTTGTTCTCTATGTTCTACCGTCAAGTGCATATACCAAAGAATTTCAAAAGACACCTATCGGCAAGTTATTAACAAAGAAATCGTAAGAAATTAATGGCAAATTCTATTACGTCTTTACTGTAAAAGTTTTTTTTCTTATTGGAATGAGATCTGATATATTTCAATAAAATCATAAAACACAATGCTAATTTGTTTTAATTGAGTTTTTTAATGAACGGAGTGTACTTCTGTGAGCGTGTGAGTGAGGGTATACGTATGAATGATGGCAATAGTCACAAATCTGGAGACCTGTCTAGCTCAGTAACAGGTAAAAAAAATTCATCTAAGATATATTTATTTGGAGAGTTGATATATATGAACAAATGAATGGAGATTCGTTTTTTAATTCACGTTGCTTTTCAAGAAATAATCAAGGTGGAAAGTGCGGGCCAAGTGCCACCAACACTTCAGCATTTTTCCAGTACCTAGTATTATTTTTTGATGTTCGGATGCATCAGCATAAACAGAAACCGAGCAAAGAAATAATGCTATCTTTGCTCAGTAAAATCTGAACGTAAGATTCGATAAACAGATGATGATTATGTACAGAATGAATCATAGTAACTGTAGATTTAAAAAAAACAGTTATATGATTTTTTTATTAATACCAAAATGAGAAACTAAATAACAATATGATCTTCAGTATTTTTTTCAGAGAAGGAATATTATTATTTGATATAATAGAATATATTTGTAGCATGCATTCAAGCGACTGAATATTCCAATAGTCAAATCTTATCGTATAAAATATTCAAAAAAAAAGATTATAGGAAGTCTCGGCTAATATATTATATCGGTGTATTCATACACAATCTAAGAGTAATCAATATCTTCTATCTACATATTGCGAGTGCCTTGAAATAAGAGAAAAAAAGATTTAAAGTATCATCTTAAATTAGGACCAACTGGATCCCACCATAATTATGATTTTACAAAATCCAAACAACTACGAACAATTAAGTGAAGAAGGTGTAGGTAAAATATTGGGTAAATGTTTAACATCTAGTAAAACGACAGATTTTTTTGCTTCGTCACTAAATAATGTATCTTTTTTATAATAAGAAAGTGGTAGTTCAGTTTGATTGAGTAATTGTGGATTCATTAATAAAAATCCTGAAAAATCATTCGTTGGATTTTTTGTTGTTTTACATGCATTACGAACAATTTAAACCCAAAAATAAATTAATGTTTCATTTATTTATTTTATATATTTATTAGTATTATCAAATAATAATTTTATTGTTTGTTTTCTATTATGAACTTGTAAATAACTCCATATTAATCTTAATAATAATCGATGGTAAATTTTTTCAATAAATTCTTCATTTGAATCTTCATGAGAACCATTTTCTACTTTGACCATTGATGAATTTATTTTCATATTAATATATTAATAAAATGGAGATTTAATTGCATTTATTAGCCATATTTTAATAATATATCTTCTTGTTTCAATCGATATTCTAAATCAATTTTATTCAAATAAATTAATAAAGGTAGTTTTTAAGTACATTTTCACTCAATAAACTCCATAATTCTTCTGTTGCTTCTTCTAATCGAGTACTATCATATAAATCAATAACAAAATAAATACTTGTGTATTTGGAAAATATTGTCGAATTAGAGAATGAATTACAATATGTTCTCCGTTATGTCCTAAAATGTTAAATTAACTATTTTCTTATAATATACAGTTTCTACATTAAAACTAATTGAAGGAATAGTTTCAATAATTTCATGTAATTTGAATTTATAAGCAATCGTTGCTTTACCTAATCGATCAAGACCCATGATTAATATTTTATATTTCTTCTTCAACCAAATATTATTTTTTTGATGTTGTCAAAATGACTGCTTAGCAATTATTTCCACACATCGATATTTAATGGATTACATGAATCCATTATGTTGTTGAAAATTAAATTTTTACGAAATTGTTTGTTACTCTATTACATATCTAACTACAAATTTATATTGTCATATACTTTCATTGCAATTTTCTAAATCATGATTATGATCGACATCTACATGTACTTACGATTATCTAAAAGTACTATTTTTTCTTATGAAATTTTTTTAAAAAATTTCTTTTTTTATGAATAGATAGAGCGTTTTTCACTCAATTTTTGTATACTATTGCATCAAACTTCAACTAATATTTCGATAACATTTGTTTCTTTGTCATATCGTTAGTACCATTGTATTAACAATCAAAATAATACCATCAGATACAGTATAAGAAGTTCTATAACTCCCATAAAATCTCTTATTTTATAGTTTCACTTTTCGCTACCACTAAAAACAAAATTTTGAGCAAGTAAACTGCGACCATAAGGAAAGGATAATTTTTTATACACAACAAACTATTTTTTTGTTATTTTGCTGTTTATGCACTGGATATATTTTGATGGTTTGTTTCGCGTCATATAGAGATATATTCAAATAATACATCGTAGACACTACATATTGATGCATCTCAAAATACAAACAAAAAAAAAGATATTATATGTATTGATAACTATTCATGCGTACAAGCACGTGAAACTTTACTTTGCTTAGAAAATGAAAGAAACAAAAAGAAAAACGTGAATCTTTTGTCGACGATAAGGTGAGGGTAAGACTTATATATAAATTCGAAGGTTATTAACGATGAAAAGTGTACGCTTATCTATGAGATTAAGTGTAATGTCTTCTTCGTCGTCAAATTGAAGTTTAACAATATCGAACCATGGTATAGTTTGATATTCGTTTAAATCCTTGCTGAAAATCGATAAAAACAACTCATTTAGATAAAAATATATATTCATTCTATAAATACAAAATCTTTGAATATACCTATAAAAATAATGTATATTATTTATTAATTTGACTACCTCGATTTTTAGTCCATTGTTGCATAGAATTAGAAGAGAGGTCGACTTCTAGATCGTCGATTTCATGATAACGACGAGATAAACATATATTTGAATTTTATTTTGTTTCTGTATATAAAATTCCAGACTACATCATATATAAGATATATTCATTAGATGTATTATATTTCATAGAGATTAAGCATATGTAATAAAAGGAAATTAGAAAATTCAAATATCTCTAACATATACTAAGAAATGAAGAATGAAAAGTGAACTAAGTAAAAACGAGTCGATATATTTTAAATATCTCTTAACGAACGTATGACTGTATAACTTATAAAACTATTATACAAATGAAACACATCACTTTCAAAACCTTCATACAATAGGATGATATAATAATACATCGAATAATTATTTTAGATTTAATACATTTTATATAATAATTTTCCACGAAATGGATGAATCGGTTACTACTTATAAAATGGAATCGCGTGTCAAGCGCAGTAATACATACTGTGAACAAGATGATTCATGTGAACAAGATGGTATGGAGACTGAGAGTGAGAAAGATTTAACAGAAAGTATCAAAGTTAGTTATACAAGAAGAAAATTCATTGGTAAGAGGTGGAGAATACTCTGTTCTGTGACTGACTGTGAGAAAGTAGTTAGCAAACAAGGCTTCTGTTCTCAACATTATGCAGAAAGTGTCGGAATTGCTCGTAAAAATAAAAAATCGAAGCGAAACAAATGGGAACGACACTGCGATATTTACAATTGTGAGTGGCTTGCTGTTAAACATGGTCTATGTAAGAATCATTTAAATGAATACGAAGAATTCTCCGAATCATCGACCGGCCTACCGACAGTGAGACTCAACAGGTGTTCATTACGAAGTTATATAGAACAAAGTATTTTTAATGATCGTAAGTTTTTTTTGCTTATTCAATTTTATCTATTCAAACCTATCGACATTTTTCATATATTAATAGAAGATTCTCAAACAATACCATCTCAACAAAATAGTTCAATAGATTCGATTTCTGCACAATTCGAAACTCCACCGGATAGTAATGTAGTTGTCGACGGATCAGACATTAACAGATCCTCTATGGCCAACGCGTCGACAGGTAAATATATCACAATCGTTTTATATCGATGATCGATTATTTGGGAATATTATTCATTTACATAAATTTTAAACATACAAAAAAATAACTTTATTTTAGACATACGCAATGATGCAGCAAACAGAACTAAAGATAAAGAACATAGTGGAATGAACATGAAAAAATGTCAATATCGAATATCAATCAATGATGATATCACATGTCATAAGTCGGGCACATATCAATGCTCCCATTGTTCATCTGTATTTTGTCTCGAACATGGTTCACTACATCAAGAAGATGTGAAAGAAGAAATCAATTATCTATTAGATGAAACACAGGCTAGTTATGCATATATATACAAAATATCAAACATATTATTCTTTTTCAAAGTTTTAAAAAGAATATTTATTATAAATTATCCTGTTTTTTTTAAAGCTTTATATAATAGTCTTAGAAAAATAGTTAGAGAAATGTTTCGATGCATCTTCATCAACTCCTATTTTGAAATAGATGTTTCAACATTACAAATATTTCAATCTAGTTAAAACAACTCATCTTTTTCTTCATTATTATAGGAACTTATTACTGAAATACCATCATTAAACATTGATAATGGTAGAAAGAATTGTGAAGAACAATTAAACAATTGGATGCAAACGATGGTTGATAAAATTCAACAAAAATATAAAGAACTTCAGATGGAACTTGATCAACTTCATAGTTATATTGAAACGAATCAAGATCAATGGAAATCATCTTTGAAAGATCGAATGGAAACAAAGGTTCGATCAGTATTAATGGCACAATTGAAATTACATGAAACCGATGGATCAGAATTGACTAAAGCTCGAGATGAACTATTACGTGCACAAAAATTCTATAATTTACTCAATAGTCAAACAATGATTACAGTATCTACTGCCAAAGATAATGAAATTGATTTATTAAGCCCTAGCTTATCTTTTTCCAACGTTATAGTCGATGGATTCACTTCGATTGATAAAATTATACCAAAAACAAATGCTGAAATTATAGAACAATTAAATCAACAGGCAATTGATTTAATGAATAATGAAACAG